AATCTTCTCGAACAAAATGGGTTCTTGAAGGAATCTCCAGGCCCTCAAAGACGAATGACTCGCGCTGCAGACAGGTCAGCCGGTGTGAGAGAAGTGCCGTCAACCCTTCCTTCGTCTGTCAGGTTTGTTCTTGCAAAAAAGATGAACTTAAGCGTCTACCAGGATAAGCGAGCATCGAATCCATCATTATTCTTCCGAGGATTAGATTACATCGGTGAAATTTCAGCGCCTAAAACCGTCTTGATCAGACCAAGAGTGAGATTCACAGCGCTGTTGCATGTGGAAAATTTATTAATCTTGTAGCTCGATAATGAAGAAAATTCGTTGGGAGATGCACAAACTGAATTGGATGCAGGGGCCCAACTCCTCACAGCGACGGAAAGAGAGGGGATGTTCAGAACACGATTTGATGTCACAACAGAGCTCGATTTACAGAGGTAGACGCAAACGTAGAACTACTTAATTTGAACTATCTTCTGCACTGCAGATGGAGTTTGGCATTTTTTATCGCAAGAATGGCGAAAAAATCAGAAGGACACCCCGCGGTTCTATCTGCCTTCACTCATGTTCGTTTCTCTGGTTTTACAAGTCTGTGATTTTGTGTTTTTTTGGCAGTTTTGGATTCTTCAGTCGCGATATCAAGTTTGACGACAAATTGCAGCGAGGAAGAACTGGTTCATTTGTTGGTTCATTTTTCGGAATGAGGCGAGGCTCAACAAGCAGCTACGGAAGAGAATCTCCAATCGCCCGCCCCAAAGAATCTGGTAAGGCGCTGATTTTCGCCGTCGCTGTGATTTCACTCCATTTGATCAGGGCCCAAAAGGTCGAAGAAGGGAGATTCGTCTTTTCTACAGCCGAAGGTGAGCGACCAGTTCTGTTTTTGACTCTTGCATCGGTTCTCCTTTCAGGCTGTCCGAAAGGAGCCCATGGTTGGATCAAGCCTTCCTTCTAACGTGGTACCGTTGTGGTCCGGCGCACCCTTGATACCGCAATCGAGAGATTCGTCATCCTATTCTTCCGAGTTAGATTATTGGGAAAATCAGATCCTGAAGAGCAACGGAAACAAGTGCGCTGAGAACGAGATCATAGAAGAGACAAAAACTGGAAACCTTGAAAGAGTTTATTCATTCTTCAAGCGGCGGTTTTAGTAGATTGCGTTTCAATTGCAAGTTGAACTTCTAGAAATCATTTTTTAATGTTCTATAGATGTTCAGCAAAAATCGTGTTCAGCCTGAAATTTTTCCGAGACCTTCAATATTCTAACTGCGCGTGGCGAAACACTCAATGAAAATTTTTCCCTTTCTTGCAATCGCAGCGTAGCGTCTCACGAGAGATTGAATTCCTCCAGGGCGCTTTTCCACCCTCTTGGAAAGGGTTTCAAATTCTTTGATGAACTCAGAAACTTCTTCTTTAGGAAATTCAAGAGTGATCGTTTCAGTTGAGATATCGCTGCAGCCTCCCACCATCATGCGAACAGTGGGCCTTGTGATTGTGGGCATTTCCATTGAGATAATCCCTCGGTGGAAATTAAGCCTTGTTGGAGAGCCCTTCTTGACGTAATTCGCGTAATCGTTGGAGTTGATTGCATTGTTGAGCGTTCCAATCGCATCTTTGAACTGAATGACTTGAAGATCTGGAAGCTTCCCTTTTCTCGGACCAGGTAGTGAGAGTCTTGGCGAGATTTCATCGTACAAGTTTTGGGGCGCTGCAACTTGGCAGGAGTGTCGAGTCAAGATCTTTGGAAGAACAGGCTTCTTCTTCAGTGACTCATAGTCCGATGCTGGCCGCGAGGTGGGAATTGGAGGAAGCGTTCTCGCGCGTATCAATCGTTGATACATTGACTGTTCCAATGTGTCCTGTCGACGCCTTTCATCCACTCGCTCTTGTTTGAGCTTTAATTCTTCTTCCGCCAGTTGTTTCGCAGGGGCTTCTCTTTGTCTTTTTATTTCATCCGAAAACTTAGATGGTTTTCCTCCCCTTGTGAAGCATCTCGTATCTTTAGAAATTCTCACGTGAGGGAATATTTCAAGCCCCTTAGAGCGAGCGCCATTGAAGGCATCCAAGCACAATTCAATGCCAGCTTGAGTGCCCTCAATCTGCGTCGTGGCGCCTGGAAAAATTCCCACAGCGTTAATTGCAAGAGCAGCAACAGCGGGGTTCATTTTTCTTGTCAAGAGTACCATGATATACTGTAGTGGAGTCCGTTACCGGGAGTACCTGATTGCATGAGTTCAACGGTTTCTGTTCTCATCCACTTGTGTTCCCAAGATGCTTTTATATGAACACAAGAAGAGTTTCAAAACACTCTTCAATTCAACAATTCATGAAAATTTCTAGTCATATTCCTTTTTTGCTTCCCTTAAAATCTCTTCTTCTTTGCGAGTGCGTTCGTTCAAAAATTCTTCACGATGAGCGTCTTGTTTGACAAGCATAGAGGGGCACGGTCTCATGAAATTCCAGCGATAGTAATTTTGTTGAATTTTTTCATATTCTCTCATGACACACACCCAAACAGGAACCATTGCGGTTGGGATGTGCTCCATTGAAACCCAAAGACGGTTTGCCGGACCGAACAGTCCAGCAGGGCAAAATCCATGGCGGTCTGTTTCAAATTCACGAGCAGAGAGCCACAAGTAGACGAGAATTGAAGCCGTCATCAATGAAAAGAGAAGATGAAGCTTCAGCCCTAGAGAGACTGATGATTCTTGAAGTGCCTGAAAATTGATGAATTCAATTGATGTTCATTTATACTGAAAGAAGAACTTACAAAATCAACTCCACATGCCAAAAGCAATGACATAAATTGCGCTGCTGTTGTAAGAATTGGAAGGAAAAAATTATCAATCATTGCTCTCATAATTGAGATGAAATAGACAGTGATGAGGCTGTTTGTAACACTTAATGAAAGAATAATGAACATTGTAAATTTAGAAGACAAAATAGGAAGAACGATGATAACCTGAAGAAGGCCATAGAAGACAATAAAGCGAAATCATAGCATTGAAAGTGATTAGTCCCAAATGTTTTTTTAACTTACATTTCCAAGAATATAGGGAATTAAGAGAATAACAATCAAATCATAGCGGCTAAAACCAGCGTAAGTGAATAGATCAAAAAAAAATGGAAGAATATAGCGTCCAGAAAAATCTCCTAGAAGAAACCACTAGAAACAAAAATGAGCAATTTGAATGAGTGAGATTCGTCTCTTACGAAATAGCTGCGATGCGCTGGGAATGGGGTTTTAAGCGCATACTGAACTGCTGGAATTCCAACGATCCAAAGATGTTGCATTGCAAGCAGCCATGCTAATGCAATCGCGTGAGCCCATACCCACGGGCTGTTCAGAACTCGGGTGATATGGATTTTAACAGGATCAGGCTAATGAAAAATGTTAAGGGCGAAAATGTGTTGAAATGGACTTTATTGCTTACTCTCCAGAATGCTTTGCAGAAATAGGCATCTGCTGGAAGTACCTCCTTCAGATTTTGAATGAAAAAAACAAAAATTATAGCAAGTGCAATTCCAAAAACTGTACATATGACAGCGAATGGCATGAAAATCTCAACTACTTCGAGTTGAACAGAAATTTGCAGAGAAATAAGAATTGCTAGCAAATGTGGAATTGCGCGGCTAAGCAAGAGAAAAGGCCGATTGAATGCTGGAGGAGAAAACCGATATATTGTCCAATACGACGCTAACTGAATTGCGTTGCCACATTGAGCGATAACCCAGACATTGATGCCATGATACAATGGATTGTGTGTTTTGTGGTACCGCTCACGATTTGCTGTTAATCCAAGCTGACGAAATGCCAACGTTAATCCAATGAATGAAGCGAGCAGTGTTCCCCCAGGTCCAAAAAACAGATGCACTATTTGAGCTGGTAAATTCCACTGCCCCCAAATTGAACTCCATCGCAGAAGAAGGTCTGCGCGGGCGATGTAGTCGAATTTTGGACGAAGAATCAAGCCATAGTCAATTGCTCCCGACATAATTGGATAAATAATGAAAACGATTCCAAATGAAGACAAAATCAAGGACCAAACTGAAAGAACGTTGATGAGAGAACTTGTTCGTGGAGCAAAATCGGAATACTTTAACTCTTTTTTTGGAAGTTGGAGTTCTTTTGGTTCAAGAATGACGCCTAACATCGGTCTATCTGCACCCCCTGGAATTGTTCCAGGCGGAACATCTTCAATTGTGCATGTTGGAGCGAACAGCTTTGCATCTCGATGAAGCAATTCTAATCGCCTTCGTCGTAATTCTGAAGCCAATGCTACGCCGTCCAATGGCTCCGGTTGTCTACTTGAGGAAGGTGACCCAATTGCTGGCGTTCTACGTTGCTGAGTTGTCTCATTTTCTGCAGGACTCATATCTTTCGAAAAAAAAATCTCTTATCTTAACGTACAACTCGGCGGCAATAAAAATCACCCCTGGAGGATGTGACTTCAGTCTCATAACGATAAGCTCGAAATAATAGCTTCGGGATGAATTTGGGGTTTGGTTAACTTACCACGGGAACTTACCAGGAGATAGCCAAACCCGCACAGTTCTGTCGGAGATTTGCCCAAACATCAACCGGAAACTTCGTACAACAACTCCTGAGACGGCGGTGCAGTGCACTCACACAAATGCAGAGATCTCGCTCAGTTTGAAGCGCTCTCCTCATCATGTAGAAATATTAGAAATCTGTTCTTGGTTGATCGTGTGTGAATTCTTATGAGTTTTCAAGCTGCGGTGTTCCCTGCAGACGCTTTCTTCTGAAGACACGCAAATTCCTGTTCGTTTTTATTCATTTGGGGCTGCAGGCATCATGAATTTGTCAGAGTAGATGTCTGTGTCTCTATTACAGAAGAAATAATAAAATCAGGATCAATAATACAAAAGTCTTACAAATTCAACCTTATTCATCGCCGTTTTTTCGTTGCTTGTTGTAGGTCCATATTACTGGCAGTCTTCAGCAGCCGATCTATTCTATTTTTGTGTGCAGCTTTTATCAAATGTGGAAATCATCAACCCTTTTTCTGTTAACTATTGCTGTTTGTTTGGTTGTTTCATTCTCCGCCGGAATCCAACCAATTCTTTCCTGCCCGAAGGACTATGTTCAGACAGGGAAAGTCTGTTTAAGAGTGGAGTATGCTGAATTTGTGATTGATTGTCCCAAAGGAGCAAAATTGGATGGAAATCAATGTGTCACTCATCAAACCATTCCAGCTGAGTCCGCATGTCCACCCGGATTCGAGCCAACGCGGGACAAAAGATGTGAACGCACCGAACGCTTTCCCGCTCGTCGAGAATGCGATAAAGATTTTGTTCTGGAGGACGGTTCATGCGTTCGAGTGACTGAGGAAGAAGTCCATTGGAATTGTCCCAAGGGATACAAAAGTGAAGGAGTGTCTTGCGTGAAAGTCCTTAAGGTCGAGGCAGGAGCGTCGTGTCCAGCAGGATCTGTTGCAAGGAAGGATAAATGTGAACGAGAAGAGTTTACCGAACCCCATGTTTCATGTCCCAAAGATTATGTTCGAATCGATCGCGAGTGTGTGAAAGAAGAATTTGGGGAGAGAAAGGCGCAATGCGAGAAGGGATTCAAACAAGAAGGAAATATTTGTGTGAGAAAATTCGAAGTCGCTGCGTCGGAATTTGTCTGTCCGCCGGATACAAACCCGAAAGGAAAGCGATGCGAGGCGGTTGAAGTGACAGTGCCTGTCCCAGTTTGCAAAAAGGGTTTCTCACTCGAAGGAGATCGCTGCGTTCGATTCGAAGAACATTCTCCAGATTTTGAATGTGAAAGGGGATTTAAGAAAGTTGATAATGGACGTTGTGAGAGACGTGTGGATGTGGAAGGAGAACATGTTTGTCCTCCTGGATCAATCGGTGATGGGAAAAGATGCTCGAGTACAGAAACGTTGCCGTTGGTCGAAAGTTGCTCGAAGGACTTTGATGAAAGAAATCATCGTTGTGTTCGTCGGTTGACAAAGAAATTGGAAATTCATTGTCCCAAAGGATTCAAGGAAGATGGCAGAGATCGATGCTTGTTGGTAACAGAAGCTCGGATGGATTACACTTGCCCAGAAGGAACAGTTTTACGTGGAAAGAATTGTGAAGCTGTTGAAGTGGTTGAAGCATCGATGAGTTGCAAGAAGGGAAGATTAGAGAATGGGCGATGTCTTGACGTCGCAAATAGAGCAGCAAAATTCAGTTGTCCCAAAGGATTTAAGAAAGAAGGAGATTCTTGCGTTTCGACGAGCATTGGGAAAGCAGAAACAATTTGCCGTGAAGGAACTCCAACAAAGGACAAATGCGAGATATCAATCGCTGTCGAGTCAATTCAGTCATGTCCCAAAGGATTTGTTGTTGGGATTTCTGGCAAGTGTCAAAAAGCTCATGCTATCGACGCCAAACATTCATGTCCCCCCGGGCACAAAGTTAGAACGTGGAATGTGTTTGGAACGTAAACTTCGCAAATAAGTTAAATCATGAATTTGTTTTATTTTCTTGTTACTGCTCTTGTAATCAATTTAGCTTTCTAACTCTGAATCGTACTTGATCCTTGAAAAAGGAATGTATTTTGCACTTTTTTCAGTAAGAGTTGACAAAGAACACAAAATCCAGCCTATTTATGCAACAGCATTAATGGCACCCTTTCAAGTTGGCGAGACAAGTGTAGTCCACAGAAATGTGAGAAGGGGTCTCGGTCTGTGTTTTGCATAAATCCAGGCGCTCTGCCATTCTAAGAACATGTCAAAAAATAATTCCTTAATGGTTAAATCGGTTTGTGCTTGTCCATCTTGCCGTTCTTGTGATGTTCGAATCGTTCTTTTTTGTCAAAGTTGTGCTTCTTAGTGTGTGTTATTATCTACAAATTCAAGCTTAATAATGACCTCCACTATCAGATGCGCGTCGTTCACTCCGTTGAAAGCCTTCTAGAGGGTCTGGTTCTTTTTCTTCAAACAACATCATTCGAATCGGAGCGGTGATCTCGCCAGCCTTTTCAAATTCAATCGCCAATCGCCGAGTTGCATCCTCGTAGGCCTCAAAGATCATAGTATCAGCATTACACTAACAAACAAAATCAAAATAACCGTTCATGATGAATTAACGAACCGCAGCATCGATTCTTGTGTGCCATTTCTTATCGCTATTGCACGCGCGATTCAATTTCTTCCATTGGCGATAACGCAATTTCTGAAACAAAGAAAATCCGTTTTGTTCTTAAGGCCTCACTTACTCTTTCTTCTCCTGCTCTCCTTCTTTCAAGAGTAGTATCAGCGATGTAATCACCTCTGCGCGAGAGCCACTGGAAAAAAAGTGTTACTATAAGAAATCATTTCTTCTGCCTACTTCCTGCATTTCTTCGGCAGCAACATCATAATCTACAACAAGAAGATGAACAAAAGAACAATTTAAATCAATTCTAACCTTTTCCGAAGTCATCTAAGATTTGTTCAGCTCTTGCAACTTCGCCCGTTAAAGACCTTTTCTCTCTATCAAATCGTTCCGCTTCTGCTGTAATTCCCTGCAGCCTTTTCTCTAATAGAATATTGCGCTGCTCCACCCCGTGCAACTCCCCTTGCTTTATTTTCAGAACTTTCGAATTACTCGCTATATGCCATCTCAACTACAAGGAGACACTATTTCTGTGAAGACCCCATTCTCTCACCAAATCCTTCTCCTGTCTTAATAAATCAAATCGCTGTTTTGCATAAACGTATTCTTGTTGAATTTGTTTTGTATCTCCAGCCAATCTCGCTGCGAGATCAAGAAAACTGGTTTCATCTGAGAGCACCGCTGAAATAACTTCTGTCTCATCAACGTGGGGAATTTTGGGGATGTGATGAGGGAGACGATGACCTCCTAGAAGTAAAAAAGAAGTAATAAAGAAGAAAGAAAAAAGTAAGAAAAGAAACAAAATGAATCAAGAATTTCGCGTACCTTCATAAAATTTCCATTTCAATAACTCTGTTTTATTGCGTAAATCAATTTCATCGGGATAGGTGCAATCCGAAGATGCATCAGGATGTGGATAATCAAGAGGCGCAGCACCTTCACTTCCAACCCCTTCCAAGCTTGTCATAATGAAGAAATCCCTTGATAGAATTGGGTCTCAGATGCCTTCCATAGAGGAGTTGTTACCTGGCGGCATTTGCTGCATGCAAACCACATTTATTGCATTCAAGTGTGGGGAGGAGCTCATTCACGTACTGATTGTTCTCACTACTACGCACTAAGCTCTTGCACCAATGTTTACAGTTGTTGGTTGACTTAGTAACCAACGCCTGGATGATCGCGTCACATGCATGCAATCGTGGGGGGAGAAAGACCCCTGTAGCAGTTACCCTTCGGTCTCTTTTTATTGCAGGACAGGAGTAACAGGAGAGGAAAACAGACATTAACGTTATCAGAACTCTCAAAAAATGGAAGTTGTGTCCCATCGCGTATCCCGTGTAAGACCGTCAGTGTCTTCAACCCAAAAGAATTGCATAACACTTGACGAATTACCAACAGTGTCAACCTCATTATTAAAATATCATATTCCCCAACTAGTAACAGGACGGAAGGTTGATTTGAGAAGCAAGGGAACTAGCACAACGACTGAGAAGAGGCCCTCATTGCGAAGACAGTCTGAAGCCACAGTCAAGGAAACAGCGAAAAGCATTAAGACTACAAAACAAGTTGGAAGCGCTTCAAGGCCGAATCCTGATAAAACTTGTTCACTTGAAGAAGACAGCACCAAAGATGTGGATAGTGATGAGGTTTACACACAGGACTTGCTCGATGCGTTGTTCCCACTGCGAGAATTCCGTCTAAGATGCGGAAATGTTTATCATCAGAGAGTCTCTGCAGCACCAGCCACACGTTTGGATGTTCTTGCTGTTCATGACCAACTGATCAAAGAGCTTCAGCGACGGAGGGCGAAAGAGTGCGGTGTTTGCCCGATTAGAGAAGAGCTCTATTCTGATTGCTTCAATGAAGTTATTCGTCAAGTTGCTGTTGGTTGTGCTGAACGTGGAAAGCTTCTTCATGTTGTGAAACGCGAAGTGGAAGACACGAAAGAAGCTTACAAATCGCTGTATAACTCTGTAACAAAATTTGGTTTACGGAAAGCATTAAGTGAAGAACAAAAAGCGGCGCGAGAAAGAGAAGAAATAAAGCAGCTAGAGGCTGAAATAAGCGAACTTGAAAAAGAAGAAAATCAGCTTCAAAGTGAATACGAAGAAATTCATCGAAAAGCACAAGCGGACAAAGCTGAGGTGAGAAAACACACTAGGTGAAACACCCTACAAGTTGTTTGTTCGTCTATTTAGGAAAATGCCATTCATAATAAGAAAGTCTCGTTATTGAAATCGTCAATTAATACAGTTCAGGAAAGAATAGAATTATTTTTATCGGTTCAAACCATTTCGTAACCAAGACTGTGAATTTTTTCTTGGAAAAAAGTAGCTGATTGGGATTGAAGTCCAACAAGAACAAACTTTCCATCGGTTGACAACAAAGAGTGGTTTGAATTACATCAAGCACAATTGATCGCAGATGGAGAGAGTTCCCAGAAAGTGACCCCAACATCTCAAATGTAAGTTCCTATCACATACTTAAATTGTTTTGAAACCATCCAATTTAAAAAACCGAGAAAACTCTATGGCACTCGGGAGTGCTAGCCATTATTGAAGTCAACGTTTCTTTTTTTCATTACGAGTTGCTCTTTTGACGCTGCGACGTTGGCGTCTCCTTCCTGCGAAACATTGCTATGAAAAAGGTGCTTAGTGAGAGTATTTCACAAACCTGCAGCGTCGGAGATGTACAAAGAAGAAGCAATGAGTAAAATGATCAAAGCGCAATAGATTGGAAAACGCATTTTCAGCAAAGAAGGCACAGACAGTCTTAATTTAGGAGCCACGTCTCTCCTTAATTGATATGTGATAGTGAAGGTTGCGAAGAGAGCGTGGTTTTAGTTTTTATTCATTTGAGTATCGTTGAGATTAAGGTACAACGGCACGGTGATGTTCTGAATAGAAACGGTAAAGTATCTGTTACAAAACAAAAGTGGTAAACACAACACAAATTGAAGCCTTAGTGTGTTTCTAAAGAGTCGTGGTTGTTGATGTGCTGGTGGTTCGCACCAAGGATTGGAGGATTTGAATGAGGCGCAACAGCAACAAATTGGTGAAGAGAAGTCTCTAGCAAGAAGAATGAAGATGTGCAAAATTAATAAACAAACGATTTTAATTCACCTCAGGGCTCTTATCATCTGCCGTCAATGCGTTACGGAGATCCGCAGTGAGTTGCTGAACCTCATTGTTTCCTTTGATGGCGGTTTCAATTTCTGCCAATTCTTCACCTTCGAGTGTTTTGAAATATTCGAGGACGCCTTGAACGGCTTCAACATCGACTGCTTCTTCTTGGAGCCTTCGAGCTACTTCTTCATTGTCTGAAATAGTGTTCATATAAGACGGTTGTAACAGATTGCAATTGGCTTACTCATTGAAGCTGCACAAATGCAGAAAAGCAAAGCAAGAGCAAAAAAGATTGACTTCATTTTCTGAATTGAATCGAGAAGCTAAAGCAGAAAACTGATTGCTCCTATTTGTAATCTTGTACGTCTCCTTTTTCCAGTCTCTGAAAAACGAGACAGGGAAAAGGTCGTTGTATTATACAATTCTGTCCCATGCGGTTCATCTTGTAAACAATTTAAAGCATGCGTTTGTACAGAAATTGGTGAAAAAATATCTTGTACTGGTACTGTGTGGTTATATTTGTACAGAGAAGGGAGGGTCATTGGTGAAAATGAAACCAGTCTGTTGCTGGAAAGAATTCAAACACCGTTTCCTTCGGTGCTTTTATTATCAGTCTCTGCTTGCAAATTGCTTGGTGGCGCTGACTGGAGTTCGGGGTGAAATGCGGGGTATGCCTGGAGTGTCTTTAGGATTTCAGCGACAGCCAGATGCTGATTTTGAGTCAATCCAGGATTTGCAAGTTGGAGTTCTGAATAGTATTTGAATTAACAACATTTAAATGGTTTTTATTACTGTACCTTCAAGCAATGCTTCATTTGGCAATGGGGCGGATTTTTCCTCTATTTCTTCACGATGACCTGGACTCGGATTTCTTGACGGTCTTCCTTTTGTTGCTTTGCTTTTTTTCTGTCTTTTTCTTTTCCTTTCATCTTCATCATCATCGTCTCCGTTATCTTCAACTTCTTCTCTCATTGAATGAATCATATCTTTCCATTTTTGACTTTGCCGTCTAGTTCTCTTTCGTGTGCTTCTCTTATCTGTTCGAACACACCACGACGCATGAGACTAAATCCGCCCAAATACAACTCCAAACTCACTTGGTTCTACGCTGTCGTCCATTTCCTCGTTCTGAACTGTTTCCTCACAACTTTCGCTCTGTGGCAATTGAACGGGCTCTTCATCTTGCGTCGCCGATGAAGCTGAAGATTCTCGTCTCTCTGTTGTGCTTCTTTTTTTTGAACTTCTTGGTCGTTGAGATTTTGAACCGCCCGATTTCCGCCCCCCTCTTTTCATCTGAACTTCATTTTCTTCGTTCTTCAAACTCGCAGCTAAAGATCTGCTGCGCCTCCCTGACACAACGCTTTTAACGACTGGAGAAACTCCTTTGAATGTCGTCAAGGCATCAAAAATCAATTCGGGATGATCTGCCGCAATCAGAGTCGATGGCCGAGAGAGAAGAATCAATTTTCCTGCTTCTATTAAATCAACTTTCTTAAGAACACAAACAATCACGGATGTTGGAGATGTCAGCAATCGATAAGTTGAACAATTCGTGCTGGTCAGTCGGTCCAATTCTTCTCTCAATATATTTTGATCATCTGGATCCATCGACGAAAGACTCACCAAACGACGCGCGAGATGAAATGGATTTTCGCTAATTGGTTTTCCAAGGGGCTCTAACGCTCGAATTAAACGGCGGGAATCATCAGAAGTGAAACATGGGAGAGTATTCATCATCGAGTTTTTTGCACTAGGTGCCCAAAGAGCGGTATTGTGGTAGTTTGCCAATTGATTTTTGAACACGTGAAACTTTCCACTCGACGCCGTTTGAACCAAAGTGCTTCCTTCCAACAAATACATTAAGTCGAATATGTCTGTCTCCATTGTTTTATATCTTTCGGTGATTTCGTGCTGTCGATGAGATTCCAGAGTTGATTCTGATAGAAAATCGTCATCAGTCCAAGTGGGTTTATCCGAAACTGGGTTTGTCTCCACTGGTGCAACCTTTGCTGTCCCAAATCCCGCTGTCCCAAGTTCTGGAGCTCCAAACTCTTCTCGATGTTTCGTCAGTTCTTGGAAAGTTTGCGCTTCTGAGAGTCGCGTTTGTTCCAAAGACGCTTTTGAAACTCCGGTGGCAAACCATGAAAATCCTCCAACGCAATAACTTCGATTTTTTGAATTTGTAAAATTGATCAGCTGGAAAACAAAACAAGTTGCAATTTTGTTTCCAATTCATTTCTTACTCTTTCTTGAAATTCTGGAGTCCATTCAACTGGATCGGGGATATTTGGGCGAGTGTGGCAAAGTGGAACAATCAGTTCTGGGTTCACTCCGATTAAATTGCTTAAATAAGGAGTGTAGCAATTCCATTCATGTAAAATTCCATCAGATGTCAATGCAAGATACTCCGCCCCAATTGCCATTAAATCAACAACAGTTTTCCCTGAAAGACTTCCTCCCACCTGGATGACAAATAACGTCTAGCAGTTTCTGACATTTTCGCCTACTTGGTTGATTGCAGCACCGAATCGTGGAGGAGCTTCTTCTGCGTCTTTTACTTGGGAGCTCCACGACCAAACTGTTCCATTTGCGAGAAGAACAACGCCCGTATGGCCAAGAGGCCCGCAAAAGAACTAGAGAAATCAAAATATCAGAAACACAGAAAGGTACAAAAATAAAGATTCTTACTTTCGATGGAGCGGCTGGGAAATTTTTGAATCGAACGTAAAGATTCTTTCCTTTAACGAAAGTTGAATGTTCATTATTTCCAATCGATGTATAAAGACTCATCGATACATCAAGACTCGCAGATGGATTCAACAATTCTGAGGATTTGTTGTCAAAGAGAGAATTCTCTGAAATTTCAGCAAGCGCTACATCTTGAACCTGAAAATAGAATCAATGCGTTAAATTGCGAATTCTGTCTCACTTGAGCTTTCTGTTTTCTTATTTCTCCACATAAATTATCTTTTATTTGAACAAACAAATCTGGATGCCGTTCAAGTGACTCCATTTTTGTTGTTTGCCGTTCTAACTTGTAAGTGATTCCTCCAGACCGCGGTGTTGATGCTGCAGTTGCAACAGTGGTTCTTGTTGGCAATTCATTTTCACTCGTTGCAATTTTGTCATCACGCACTGCAGCAGCATCCATTCGAGCGGGTTTTCCCTCACTTTCCAATACTTCCTCATTCTTCCATTCAACATCTGCGATTCCCTTTGGTTCTTGCATTGCGATGTCTTGCGATTCTTGCTCGATTCGGATGACCCTTGGATAGTTTTTGTACCCGCAGCACTTCCCAATATAGACACTCCCGTACCGATCAATAGCAGCAAGAGCAACTGGTTCGGGCAGCCAATCTGGGTCCATCTGATCGGATGAACAGCAAAGAACGCCATCTGGGTGCTCGTTAATGAACATCTCAAGGTCTTCATTTGAAACATCTGAATTCGTCAAAAGGG